TTTCATGCTTAAATGGTGGAAGTGAGTGATTTATGTGGATGAAGGGAAGACTTGAATTCATTGAATTAAATTTAGAAATAGAATTTAGAAGTGTTGGAGAATTATAAACAAGTATAAAATTGAATTGGAATGGAAATTGAGAGCGAAGCATTCGACCATTGAAGGATGTATGAGGAAGGGGTTAAATTTGATTGGTTTTAACTTGGATCAGATTGAAATGATTTGGAAATGGTGGGCTGAAAGAATACGAAAGAGTAAAATATAAGTTGTATTGTAAATGTAAATTGAATTAATGAATGGTTGTAGTTTCAATTCTATCAATGTATGCCGCAATATGGGTTTCCTGGAATGGTTGACATAGTGTTTTCAAAATCAAAATGATGGTTAGATCGTTGTTGTTTCCAAGGGTGTTCATTATTAGTGATAGACGCAGCATGTGAGAATAGAACTACAACTTCTAAGGCTTTGTTACTTCCTGCCCTTTCGAGTTTATTATATTAGTCAAAATACTAGCTCGTATTTGAAATTGGATATGTCGGGAAATCGTTGCTGTGTAGATCACGATTGAAAACCAAATACAAACCGAACTAAAGGAAAAGGATTAGGTTCGAGAGTGCAGTGAAAATAACATTAAAGCGTAGTGAGTGCAACTAACTTTTTAATGAAACAATACGAGGAAGACTTACGATGAGTCAATCTCGATCGATATTATTTAAAAGGTTTTTTTAAAATAGTAATTGAGTATAGATTTTGGGTATGAACTACCCAATATAGTGTTTACGATATTTTATTCGAATTGAATATATGGTTAGATTACATGCAAAATAGTGTATGATTTTTTTTAGAAAGTCCATTATATGTAAGTGAGAGCTAATGGTACAATTGGCATGCCAAGAGGTGGAGTGAACAAGTACAAACTTACGAGTTGCATCAATATAGATTGCTCATATGATTCGTGTGCCTTAATGGTGTAGAAGTGGAGTGATCTGGTGCAATCTACAGGGTATTTTATATGTTATATGATACGACATTGTTACTCATATGATTCGGGTGTCTTAATGATACACAAGGTGGAGTAACCTAAAGCATTTTACGCGTATTACTAATAGCAGTTTCGACTGCATAGTGAGCCCTCACTCATATGACTCATGTATCATAGATTTCTCATGATAGTACAATGGGCAACGATACGAAATAAAAATAGAAAAGTACATATTTGATACATAGTTTAAAGTAAATGATTTTTAATAATTGTTTATGCTTTATTTTATGCATGATTTATTTAAACAATGTTATTATATATACTATTGCTTATTTTATATGCTAATTATTTTATAAGTTCTCACTAAGTGGAATACTTAGCGTGTGCTTGGTTCACATTAAGGAAACCAACGTCAGCAGAGTAGGGAGCCAGGCAAGACATCCTACATTTTGACAGACCGGTTTAGACATCTAGAATTAGTATGACATCTTTTTATGTTTTTTATATTCATAGTTGGTATGTACTTATTTTTATTTTGATTATCTTATTCGAATATGTCTGAATTCTTTTTTATCATACGATGAATGAATAGTATTTTAAATATTTTATATTATAGTTTTTTAAATGCTATTCAATTATTTTAAACGTCGATTTTAAATTAAACAAAATTTTACTGACTTTTAAATAATATATGTTTTATACATTATGTTACACTTCTATCTCGTATATGGGACCGCATATGAGATAGGAGTGTTATATTTATCATTAAATTAGTTTATAAGTTTTAAAGATTAAATCGTTATTTTACTATTTTGGGTGTTAAAATGTAATTATGTTATATTAATTTATAATTTTATAATTTCAAAATAAATAATAATTAAGAAATGTATTAAAATAGTAAGATGTGCATAGATGGAATCCTTCATCAGAAGTCAAATCCTTCATCAGAAGTCAAAGCCTTGATCAAAGTCATAATGAGAAATGTAAATTATATAAATGGTCATTCTTGAGAAACGTGCCTATTAAGTACGAGGAATACTGATGTTACGAGTTAAACCGTGATCTGGTACTGTTTCAATAATCCATCAATGGAAACACCAGGTGGCTTGAATCTTCTTCATCTACTGATCCATTCTTTACTTGTACTTCCACTCCTCGCAACTTCAACAACATCGCCAATCCAAGATGACGAATCCGAAATCATCTCGAGATTCCAACAATATCTCCAAATCAACACTTCCCAACCATCCCCAGACTACAAAAAATCAACCCAATTCCTCTTATCCCAAGCCAATTCCATTTCCCTAGAATCCAAAGTCCTCGAATTCGTCCAAGGCAAGCCAATCGTGCTCCTCAAATGGCCAGGCTCGGACCCTTCTCTTCCCTCTATCCTCCTCAACTCTCACACCGACATTGTCCCCTCTGAACATTCAAAGTGGGTTTATCCTCCTTTCAGTGCCCACATCGATGAACAAGGCAATAGCTTTGCTCGAGGCTCCCAGGATATGAAATGCGTCGGGATGCAGTATATATGTTCGTAAGTTGAAGATTTCTGGGTTTAGCCCAATACGGTCTCTTTACTTTTGTTCCTGATGAGGAAATTGGTGGCCTTACTGGTGCTCAGAAGCTTGCTTCCTCTCATGTCTTCAAGGATATGAATGTCGGTATAGTGCTTGATGATGGTGAAGTAACAAGATATTAACCCTTTTTTTTTTGCGCGTGTGTTAAAGCTTGCTTGCGATTGTTGTATAAATACGAGTTTTTTTTTATTTTGGAGAAACAGGGTTGGCTTCCCCTAATGAGAATTATAGGCTATTCTTTGGGGAGAGGGCTCCATGGATGGCGGTGATAAAGTCGACTGGAGCACCCGGACATGGGGCGAAGCTTTATGATAACAGTGCCATGGAGAACCTTTATAAGAGCATTGAGAGTATCATGAGATTCCGGGCTTCACAATCTGATTTGGTGAAGGCGGGTTTGAAGGCCGAAGGCGAAGTCATCTCGGTTAATATGTCGTTCCTGAAGGCCGGCACACCCTTCCCGACCGTAAGTTTATCGAATTTTTTAGATGGAAGAACTTGCATCCAAGTCCGAGTAATGTCAAACTGCATATCATAGATATTAGCATATGACTCTTTAAAGCAAAGACATGATATGCAAACTTAGGAAGGCCTAAGATGAGGCATCCTGCTAGGCTAGGATGAAATCTTGGGTCTGTTTTCATGAGTTCTATTGGAGCATAATTGAATTCTGACAATGGGAAAATTGTATTTTCTTGTTAGAAGTGTTTAGAGTTGATCATTAGAGATTAGATGTGTTCTTATTTTTCCTGCTACGACGAGTATTCTATCTGCTTTAATCAGTTTTGTTGCCACACCGAAATCCATGCACATATATTCTTCAAATCTGTAGAAACAACTAGTGATTCCTTGATTCCAGTCTCTCACATCTTTTATGTTGTTTGCCTGCCAGGGTTTTGTCATGAATTTGCAGCCGTCGGAAGCGGAGGCTGGTTTTGACATTCGAATACCACCGATGGCCAATCTAGAGACGTTGGAGAAACGGATAGTAGAGGAATGGGTTCCTGCTTCACGAAACATGTCATTTGAGGTAAAGATATTGAAACATTTCTCTTTGAAAACAAATTGTATTCGGTAATATGATAAAAGTCCGACGATTGCAATCACATTTCACGGACTCATACAATGGTGGAATTAGTATGTTGGCATGTTACAGTTCAATCTGTACCCCTGCTTGTTCCATTGGAAATGTCGAATGACATCGAACGCCCAAACTGAGGCATGTGCATCACCTTGAGATCGTGAGTCACCTTTTTGAACTGATCATCCTTTTTGGGCAGTTTAGGGGAAAGGGTATTCTGCATGATGACCTGGGAAGGCCGCTTGTATCCACAACCGACAGCTCTAATCCATGGTGGGCTCTGTCGGAAGAAGCTATCAGGAAAACTAATGGAAAAATAGGAAAGCCTGAGATATTTCCTGCCTCGACAGATGCTCGTAATTTTCCGCTACTAGGCCTGCCTGCTATTGGTTTCTTGCCTGTGGCTAACACTCCTATTTTGCTTCATGACCATAATGAGGTACATCTGGTATAATTATTGTCATATGTTAATGTGCATGCTTGCATATTTGTTCCTCTTTGCATATAAGTTTCTTGATTTCTTCTATGTATATGCTACTAATAGTTGAAGGTTTTGAAATTAATTTAAATTTGGATAAGGATTTGAGGGATGTCCAGCGCAGTACAGGAATGGTAAACGGGCTGGGAAGGGTGTAGATATTCCTTCCCTCAGCTTTATACTCATAATATTTTTATATCTACTATTTACCCATCACTTACGGCGGATAAATTTTTTAAATTCACACTTGCTCGTAGATACATTCTTAAATTCATTTCACTATTCACCACTCATTCAGTATATGTCTGGTAGCAACCTCGCAGGTTACATAAGCAACAAAACATATTCCGTTTTGGTTAAATTACCATTCATGTCTTATAAAATCTTAAAATTTATAAAATAGTCTCTGAAATTATACCTAAATTCATAACGTTTCAAAATTTATATAGTGGATTGTTAGTGGGTTGATAGATGACGGATGTGACGCAGGCGGATGTAGAACGAGTAAAGTTTTAAACTCATCACCTACTCACTACCCATGACTAGTATGGCATTTTACGTCTACACACAATCCACTACCCACTAAACTTATACTTATCATGTCTCAATTAAAACAGATGCGATGCAAAATTTAGCAAATTGTACCCGTATATTATCCTTCGTTAACACTTTCATTTCTATACTTCCATTTCTATAACAAAAAGACATTGCAAAAAGGAGAACGCAACGTTTTTGAGGTCATCAATGGTGGGCTGAGAAGAGATGAGGCCCCAACTCGGGCCTGAACTATAAGAACTATAATACAAACAAATGGTTGGGATTGGTTTCTTCCTTGTTCACGCATTTTTTTTTAATTTCTTTTTTGTTCCCAAAAGAATAAAAGAAGAAGAAAAAAATGTTCTTTTTCGGCGATTACCCGATTACCAGTACTTTGCCTTGATACGGTGAAGTACCTTTGCTTTTTGTTCTCTTGTTTCTCATTCTATTGGGCACTCTCGATTCATTACTTGCAAGAAAAAAAGAATGTAAAGTATCCGATGTACATAATGGGACGAAAGGGCTATGATTCGATGTTCGATCAACTCAACTGAAATTTGATTTGGCAGTAGCTTAACAGTTGTCTGGTTCACTTGAAATTTTAGAAAGATGTCGCTGAGGATTAAGTCGGCGGTGGATAAGTTCGTTGAGGAGCTGAAAGAGGCGATGGAAGCCGACATACAAGACCGAATAATGAAGGAGAGAGAGATGCAAAGTTACATCGAGGAACGCGAGCGTGAAGTCGCCGAGCGTGAAGCCGCCTGGAAGGCCGAGCTCTCTCGCCGCGTGGTCACCTTTCTTCTTCCTTTGCTTATTGTAAAAAAAAAAGGGAAATTTTAGTTCATTGATTATCCTGTGTCACAACTGTTTTTAAGCTTTTCCAAAGTTCATGGAGATTGAAGAGGGCATTTGATGGTTGTGTGTTTTTGGTTTATCTTGAATTTGGGGTTCTGAATAATGGGTTTTTGTGATTTGTATGAATTAGTTCTTATTGAATGGCTAATTTACTTGATTTATCGGCTTATGTTTAGTCAAGGCCATCCCCATATGCCTTGGAAGCAATGATTTTGTAGAAATTTATCTACTTTCAGCCTGCCAAAATGATGATGGCAGATGCATGAGCATCCAATGTCTTGATGATGGGTCATGCCATCCGATGTCCGATCGACACGAACGGTTTCCTCCTTTTCCTGTCCTACACCGTGCCCAACGTGTATCAGGACATGGATATGGGGATATGATACATGAAAACCTCGGAGTTTCGAATATGTTTGTGTCAAACACATATTTGTGTCCTACACTCAATATCTGAGTCCAAGTATCATAACTCCTTTATCAGGGCATGTTGCTGATTTGCTAAATTGCTCATAAAGTTATTGTTACTTGTTAGTGTTGCTTCTTCTATATTTAGTCATTTCGAGTTTTAACCGTCTCTTCGTATTCTTTTGGCATGCATTTATCTTCATTTAATACTCGATTCGAAGTGCTAGTTCTTCTATGAAGTCCCAATTCTGAAATCATCTTGGTTTACTCATCTGTAGAAATACAGTCACTGTTGGAAGGTTGTTTCTAATACTTATATCATGCACAGAAGTGATTAAATGTATCGTGATTGAGTTAGACAATTCTAATCCGAGCCCGTCCTGGTTCGATTATCTGTAGACGTATAGTCTCCCTGGTTTAATGGAATTTCCAATCTGTTTAGTATGCACACGAATTATCTAAACTGTTGTAGTTGATACATCATAGTTGCATAAGTGTATACCTGTGTGTCCTCTTGCTGTCGCTCGACTAGTTTTTTTTTCATCGGAACATTGTTTTTTATCTTCCAGGCAGAGATTGCCCGACAGGAGGCTAGGCTCAAGGTGGAAAAAGAGAACCTCGAGAAAGAGAAAAGTGTCTTGATGGGAACAGCATCGAATCAAGATAACCAAGATGGAGCGCTGGAAATCACCGTGAGTGGCGAAAAATACCGATGCCTCAGGTTCGCAAAGGCGAAGAAATGAGGCTTCCATGAATAAAATGAAGAAACTCTGATGCCTTTTCCTAAATTTGTTGCAGCCAGTTTGCTTTTTTAGAATCTTGATTCATTCTATTTGCATCGGTGATTATATACTGTAGGTTTGATTTCGGACGCACCCCATTTGACGGTATCAAATACATGATTCCATGCTCAATTCAGAAGGAAAATGTTTGTTTTTTATCAACCAAAATAAATATCAACTACAAGTTGATCTAGTAGGATGAGACACTATATCCCTTAAGCAAAGTCAAGGGTTCGAATTCTGACGATTGCTAATAGAGCAAATTGGGTTGGAAGGGTCGTCATTGCCTCTGTAATACATGTTCTGGATTAGTCGGTCAAGAGATTGGATACTGACATTTAAACCAAAAAAAAAAATTACAACACATAATATTCTCACAATTTCATCCCGATACCTCAAATAAACCTGAAAAATTATTTAATTACTCCTATTGGTCACTGATTTCAAAATATATAAGATATGATCACTTTCGTTTTTATTTAATTAAGATATGATCATATTTGTTTTTATTTATTTAAGATATCAACCTGATGTTGGGGGCAGCCTACTATTTTACCTCCCCCTTACTCTATTAAATATGGGAACAAGAGACAACCATTTTATGTGTTACCAATTAGTTGGAGGTTTAATTTTATTTTAATTTCATATATTTATTTCTCACCAATTTGCTTTGCTTTGTTAAATTAAAATAAAGTAAATCTTTCAACAGAATGTTGACACATAACATGACATATGATACCAGTGACATATGATATCATTTGATTGGGGAATTAAATTTATTTTAATTTATTAAAAATATGATTACATTGAGAGAATATGTAAATAACAAAGGATCAAATATGTGATTATAGCAAAATATTTAACGACAGTTAACTCGTGGGGATCACATCTTAATTAAATAAGCACGAAAGTGACAATATCTTATGTATTTTGAAATCATTGACCAAAAGTAGATAAAACATAAACATAAATAATTATCCTTGTAGTTAACCCTTAAAGAAAACAAGGAAAAATTTAAAAGTTAAATAGAAATCTTATTTTTCCCATAAAATTCTTCTCATACCCAATGAGCATTTAATCCGAATTCAATGAGTTTCGCATAATTTGAACTTAGAAGAGTGATTTTTTCTTGAAAAAACTAGATCTGTGTGGAGTCTGGATTTTTGGAAGAAAGACTAAATTATACGCGTGACCATTTAACTGTGGATAGATCTAATTTTTTTCATTAATCTTTTAATTTTATTAATTAGACTATTTAACTATTTAAATAGTGTCAATAAAGCAATCATATGTAAACTTTTAACGAAGAGTTTGATGTGGTAGTTAAAATTATAGTATAAATATATATTTGGTTCTTGTTACTTACATATTCTATTAATTTGATCTTAATTAAATGAATAAGAATACCAGATTTTTTAACTATCACGTCACGTTCTCCGTTCAATATTAATGATCAGTGACTTGATTGAAATTATTTAAATAGTTTAATAGTTATGTTTACAAAATTAAAAGATTGGTGTTTAAATTAGAATTTATCCGTAGTTAAGTGGCCATGGATATAGTTTACCCTAAAATATATATACTTTTAAATATTTTTTAACCCAACCCAAAAATGGACCGGAAGGCCCGGCCCTGGTCTAGCTGGTATCTCACTCACCACCAAATTTCACAAATCCAAATTTTCCCTACGAAAAAGGGAATAAAAACAGGCTGTAATGGAGCTGTGAACACTAACATTTCACCTCTTTTCCCTCTCTTCTTTCTCCTAGCAGCAACGCCACTGTTACCGGCCGTCGCCAAATCTCTCTGACCATCCTGTTTCTCGCCATAGACCAGCAACCATGAGCTCCATCATTCAAAGCTTCCAAGAGAACACTTCACTCCCCGTCTCGCAAACCGATTCCAAAGACTACCTCCCAGCATCCTCCGGCCCAGGGCGGCTACGAAGGCGGTTCTCCGCTCTTTCCCTCAAATTACAACCCACTTCTTCACCGGAGAAATCCTGGACATTCCCCAGGTCAAAATCTTTGTCTTCAATGGGAGAATACGCCGGTAGCTCTATTAAGAAATGGTGGGACTGGGGCTGCTCTTGGATCCTTTCCAAGAAACCCATGTTCGCTAAAGACATCGAGATGAACGAAGAAGAAACCAGGATCCTTGGGTGTCACAACAAGGGCAGCTGGAGGCATATGTTTTACAAAGTCAGATCTGAGATCAGAAAACTCGTGGGATCTGATCATAAAGTTGGCCTCCCACAAACTTGCAGGTACAATCCTCTTGATTACCCCAAGAATTTCGATGACGGGAACAGTTATACCTATGGTTGAATCTTGTGGAATTTGAATTCCACCACCTTCGAATAAAGCTTCATTGCTTCGGATCAAAAGAGGCTGTGGAATTCTGGGTTTCTTTTGTTCTTTCGTTTAAGCTTTCGTTAATTTGTTCACAATATATAATACAAATGTTCTGTTATATAAAGTGATATCGCTTGGCTATTGGCTATGGTTATGGAGATGCCAATGAATCCATTGTATTGGAAACTCCTATTAGCAACGATGAAAGGGTCGTCACTGTAATTGTTTTTCGGGGTTCAACTGTGAAAGTAATGTATTTTTTCATGTAATGTAAATTTTATTTATTTATTTTATATCTGATTCTAATTAATTTCAACCCGATAATATATTTAAGCAAATTAAATATTTATTTTGGTAATTGAGAAGTGTAAATTTTATGAAGTTATTGTACCAAAAATATATATTGCGTCGCTTTCTCTATAAGCGTCGGTGCAAATGTTGCATGGACCAGAATAGTAGTTTCCAGGCTAGCACACGATGGGGTGAGCTTTTGGTCACTCAGCCATGTCCCATGTGATCTTATATATATATTTATATTCTGCTGTTATATTCCAATGATTCGTGAAACCAAATCGAAATTAGCACAGCACCATATACTGCCAAAAATAAAACTATTATAGTGTCGTTTTTGAGACGGTTTTCTTAATTTTGTCAGTAGATTTTTTTTTTTAATCCCTTCGATTTTCCTGTTTCGCTTTAACCAGTCCAAATAAATCCATGTTTTATATCTGATTTTAATAGATGAATCAAATAAATCCCTGTTTTATATCTGATTTTAATAGATGAATCTTCAATAATTTTTTTTTACGTATACAATGACTCGAATTCTAATCTAAAAACTTTTTTTCGCTGGCCAAAAATAGTCTATTGAAAATTTAATTTTTTTATATATTTAGATGATCTTTGTACTTTTTTTATTATTAATAATCTAGCGCAGAAAATGTGTCGGTGCACAAATACGGAATCTTACTACTTTTTGTCACTAGTAACGCTGTAATTTTGTTTCTACAAGGAGCTCTATTGTCACGGGGATCCCTCTTATTACCGACGAATTGGATGTATATACTTTATAAAATATATATTTCAAAATTGTTTCATTGAATATCTTTAATATATATATATATTTTTTTATTTTGATCGATAATAAATTTTAGGGTAAAGTACCTAAATGATCATCAATTATAAGATATTAATTTAAGTATCTTAACTATTAAAAAATTATAAAATGATCCTCCAATTATAGAGTGTCGCTTTGTTGAAACTCTCAACTATTAAATGTTTTAAAATGATCACTCAACTATTTATTATATTTCAAATTCTTCATTTTTTTCGTTAAAATTTTGACAATATTCTAAATTGAACATTAACCCGCTGATTATGATATGATAAAATTTTATCTTAAAATCTTAAACGATTATCATATTTCAATCATCATGTTAGCGTCCAACTTAAATAACTTTCAATGTTTGAACAAAAAATGACGAGTTGAGAACATATGAATAATCGGATGACCATTTTATAACTTTTAATAGTAGAGGGATTTAATAAAACTATAGAATTGTGAAAGACGAAATCAACATATCTATCAATTTAAAGAAACAATTTATCTGCAAACCCTTCAAAAAAACATCAATTAAAGACACGACTAATGACACCGTAACTTGATAACCTTAACACTTTCACACTCCTGAAGTTTACAAAACCTATGATTGGTCAAGCAAGCCAACTCACAAACCAATAGCCAATCGAACGTCTCTTTTCCGGCAAAGTCCCGAAGCATGCGAGGAACCGGAGCCGTTTCCCGAATGCTTTATCACGGATCATTATCGTCCGGTTGGCTGTTCAATCAGTGTATAAGTAGATGTCAGTACCATTTAATTCGAGTAAGGCTAAACCAAACATGGGTGCAGAAGTCTCTTCCGATCCCTTTTAGTGGATAATGCAACACTGCTACAACAATACCGTAGTTTTTCAATTATTGTTATTCCGGCGTAGAGGTCTTTAGAATTGCACCATTGCAGACCATTCCGGATTAGAGGTTAGAAGTGAGATGAAATGTCCGTTTAACCCAAATTTTACTTGCGGTTCGACTATCCTGATCTAAGAAGCTAGACATAAGATACCTGTACATGATGTGTGTGGCTGGAAATTATAGAGCACCGGGGGCATCTCTCATGCTTATATTCACACTGTTTCGCATGGTTCGTCGACCAATTCCTGCATTGCCTTTTTGCATCATCGCAACAAACTCACCGTAATCAATTCTTCCATCCTGAAAAAGAAAAGCAGTGGTGTCGGAAAAACTTGATCATCAAATGAATGCAAAAAAGAAATAATCGAACTCGGGAACAGTGCAGTGAGGAACGAGGACGCGCTAGCACAAACCCCACAGCTACCTCTCATGCTTATATTTAGCAATCATTAACAGTGAGACAGCGAAAAGGGACTTGACATCGTATGTTATTACCAGAACCGTGGTCAATCATACCAGAAAACAAATGTAACATTCAATTAAACAAATTAGCTAGCTCGAGAATATCTTTACCATCCAGTCATCAAGTTAAGATGACTTACATTATCTTGATCAACTTCTCTAATTATATCCTCAAGAAGAACATCTGTCATGTTATGCTCAGTACACGCTTGCTGAAGCTCATCGACGGTAATATAGCCGCTTCCATCCTTATCGAAGTATCGGAATGCTGCAACGAGATGCTCCTCACGCCCTAGTTTGTTAAGGTGAACTGTTGCAGCTATAAATTCTCCATAATCAATGGTCCCATTATTGTCAACATCAGCCTGAGAACACATAAATAAGCTCAGATGATTCGGGTGCAAGCATGCAATTAATACAGTAAACAACGTAACAAGCAGTGCAACGGCATTAGTCGTTTATGTTGCTGTCACCCTTTTACAAAATATATATCCACAAACACGAGGGAACAAGAATGCTGCACCCCTCACAGATTGATTGAATGAATGATTCAAAAGGAAGAAAAAAAGAAGGGAAGATGATGAAAAAAAAAGATAAAGGAAACTTACTGCATCCATAAGGTCCCTTATCTCTGTATCTTTCAAGGTAGAGCCATATCTTCGTAAACCAGCTTTGAGTTCATCAAATGTGATCGCACCACTGTTATCAGTATCCATAGACGTAAACATTTCTCTCAAACCGGCAATCTCCTCCTCGGAGAGACTTTCAGCTATCACCTGATGGTAGAAAAAGGGTAGAGTATGTTTAATCCAACATGAAGCTCCAATGTGCTTTAGACTAAACTCTAAAACTATATAACACGAAAACATGCTAGATCAAATCAAAAAAATATTCGAGAAAAAAGCCATGCATTGTTTTTTAATCACATACGGACAGCTTCTGCTGCATCAATTGCATATCAGGCCTTCATGGAACGAAGATAACAGTGTGTGATATATTAGACAAGATCCTTCTTATACGTTTACATCCTCTGTCTTCTCACAATGAGCAGTCTGATGCACATATGCAGACTCGGGAACATACACACCATGGGAATCTTACCCGTAACGCCATCTTCTTTAGCTTATTCATTGCTGAGAATTGTTTGAGGCGAGAAAGTACAGCTGGATCCAGTGCCCTATCAGGAGCAACCCCATTTTCACAGATCCAAGGATGACCTAAACAATACGAAAGGCAAAGATATCACAATTTGATCTTTATTTCATTAACATCGACTTAGATAATAATAGAGAGGTGGTATGTATAACATACATAATACTTCGTGAGCAGTCAGTCGTTCTGAAGGTCGAGAGCATAACATCTTTCGGATTAAGTCCTTTGCACTATCAGATATCAAGGGCCATGGGTCTGAATCGAAGTCAATATGTCCTTTTAACACTGCATCAAATATCCCTTGCTGTGTTTCTGAAGATAAGACAGAAAAAACAGTCGTAAGTATAAGAATCACTTAAAAACACATTAAGGTACATAATCATAGAACATTACAAATACCTGCCCAAAATGGTGGCACTCCACTTAGCAATATATAGAGTATAACTCCTGCAGTCCATACGTCGGCTTCTGGTCCATAATGCTTGAGAAGTACTTCAGGAGCAACATAATATGGGCTTCCAACCACATCGGTAAAAACTTGGCCTAACATAGTTAACCACACATTATGTCAATCAACCTGATTCGAGAACAAATCGGTTTCATCATATTCTAAAGTGGTCCAAATTCCCAAATTACTATGTGGCTCACTAAAATAAGAAATTTTAGCTCTTCAATTGTTACAAATGTGTGCTTTGTTGCCACCCTTTAATAGGCATTCATAACATAAACCCGATAAGGTAGTAGGCGTAAAGTTTAAATGTTCAGATATGAATTGGGTTTAAACAAGATCAAGTAATTGACCTACTAAACGAGGAACACAAAGAGGATTGAATGCGTCAAAAAAATTATTCTCCATTAGCTACTCAGTGTATGCTCCAGCCTCAAGCTACTTATGTTGCAACATTTAGTTCCTTACCTGGTTTATAGAAGACAGAGAGTCCAAAGTCAATGGCCTTGAGAGAGAAATCATCATCTTTGTTAACCAACAAGAAATTCTCAGGCTTCAAATCTCTATGCATAACCCCGAGCGAATGACAAGCTTCGACAACCCCAACAATGATCTTAGTCAGTTCAGCCGCCTTCCTCTCAGAGTAATGCCCTCTCTCGATAATACGGTCGAACAATTCACCACCACAGCAAAGCTCCATCACGATATGCACATACAAAGTATCCTCGTATGCACCTTTAATTGTCACAATGTTCTTATGACCAGCCAAATGATGCATTATCTGAATCTCCCTCCGAACATCCTCGACATCCTCTTTGGAGATCAACTTCCTTTTAGATATCGACTTACAGGCATACTCGACTCCCGTGGAGATCTCGGTACACAGATAAGTAGTCCCAAACTGTCCCTGTCCTAGCTTGCGACCCAAAGTGTAAAGGTCACGGATGTTGGAGTCTTGTGACCCAAAACATAGTAAGCCTGTTGATCGATACCGCGCCTCATGTTGCCGTTGTCTTTCTTGTTGGAGGGGCTAACGAGAGGCAAATTGGGGTCCTTCTTGGTGTTTTCTTTGGAGAATTCTTGGGCAATAAGCTGTTGAGAGTTAACAGTGGAAGGGGAATAATCGGTGGAATTCGATAGGCCGGAAGAAGTCTTGGCGGCGGTGCGGTTCGAAGAATAAAGCTTCCCCTTGAAAGATCCACGGCACGTATTGCCCATGAAACAATCAGTGTTCCCCCCACAGCACTATTTTCCTCATC